TCTGTGAAAAAAAAAATCCATTTCAAACTATCACATTACAGAAAGAGATAAGCATGAACAAAGAATATGGTGGACTGAATGACGTCTTATAAGATTGAGCCCTTGGTACGGTGGATTAAAATCAGATTTTTCTTCGATTTTGATAAAAAATAATGAAATGTATGATTGAAAAGTTGTAAGTCCCATAAAATGTATGGTTAAAATTAGTTGTTGACTTTGACTTAAATTTTAAAATTAAAATTAAAATTTTAATTTTTTATCAAACATGGACTAAAGAAAATGTGACATTTCAAATATATATATATTATTTAATCCTATATATCAAATATATCAAGTCACGTCTAATTTACCAAACAAAATATTCACAAGACGTAAAATATGTGCTGCATCACTAAGTTTGTTTTGTGTGGCGAGTAAAAAAATAAAAAATTGAAATAAAGAAAGTGATTGATAAATTATTTATACATATAATGTCAGCTTTTATTTTGAATTATAGAGCATGTTTGGTAGAGATTTTAATTCAATTAACATCAATTTTTTATCGTTATTTCACTATTTCAGCCATCATTTTTAAATTCTTCTCTCACAAATAAAACCCACTTTATCTTTAACAGTGAAAAAATCAATTAACAAAATCCTTACCAAACAAGCACATATATTTTAATAAATTTATAAGTATTATTTACTTATTTATTATTTATTTCTATTGATTTCTTTTGAAACATAGCTATCATTTAGTAGCAATTTTTTATTCCAAAAAATTAATTTTTTTTTACTTTTATTTCACTATTCAAACCATCATTTTTGACTTCTTTAATTATAAATAAAATATACTTTTCTCTTTAACGATCAAAAAATCAATTTTCATAATGGCTAAGCTTGAAAGGTACAAACTAGAAAATTAATTTGTCAAACCACCTTTCATTTGCGGGTCAAATTTGGATTCAAATTCAAATCTTGAATCTTGAAAAGAATAGTACAATTTCAAGAAGCTACCTTGAAACTAGCAACTCTATTTTTTAATGACAATACAAGTAAAATAAGGATAAAATCCTCTAATTGATTCTTACAAGAGTGCATAAAAGAATACGGCCACGTAATGAAATGATAATAAGCTTTCCCAAAGTAAGATAATGACAATTAAATAATGGTGAGAAGTAGTGATGGCAACGGGATGGGTTCGGGGTTGGGCACCCCCATCCCGCCCCGCCTCGTTCCGTCGGGACGGGGCAACTTTTTGCCCCGTTTGTTGTCCCGTTTAATTTTTTTATTTATTATTATTATTTTACATTTTGAAAGTTTCGAATTATGTTATTATTAGATAATAAAATACAAATTTAAAATAAATTTTTAAAGGATGAATTGTTTAGAAATAAAATTATTTTTAATTTTTTTTTTTTACTTTTTCTTCACGGGGCGGGGCATCCTCGCCCCCCCGCGCCGCCCCACGCAGGTTTTTTTCCCCCATTCGAGGCGACACCGGAGCGGGACAAATTGCCATCACTAGTGAGAAGGACAGCATCGTATATCCCAAAAGCATAATTCCAAGTAAGCATTCTCATTACGTGGTCTTCGTACCCATCCACAACAATAATTATTGGACAGGGTAATTAACAAGTTTTCTCACGTCTTCAATCTTTTTCGGTCCAATCATCGATGTATGCATCACGACTCGACTACGTATGTCTCATACTTCGAATACATTGATATGTATCCGAGCCCATGTAACTTAAGACTTGGAGTTGTATGCCTTGACAAACGAAAATCACGTGTTCAAATCTACACTTATCTTGTGAAACGTCGGGGAACTCGAGGTGTTGGTACCGCAACATCTCGACCGGATTTTAGCAATTGGATACGGTCCGGTATCATGTTATCGAAGAGCCTATTATACGGATTCTAAGCATAACAAACACAGTAACAACTCACACATGCTTGAGGCAGCGCCATTGCAATCCTAATCTACAAGCACATTATCAATACAATAATGTTAATCAACCAACTACCACTAAAGAAATAAAATATATTCAAGTTGATCACATTATTTGAATGTAATATTATTGAGATGTAAAAAGGATTAATTTAATTATTGATGATAATTAGAGAGAGGGCACCCACCATTAGGTAACCGATGAAGGCGGCTAGGACGTAGAGGATGGCCGTGTAGCGGTGGTGCACGGTGGCTGTCCAAGCAGCCACCATAATTGTACACATTGAGCCACTGCAAACTCCGATGAGAAAGCAAATGGCACTTGTAATATCAGAATCAACAATTCTTTTCATTTCTCTCTTGAGAAAAAGCTCCCATGTATCGTGTGATGCCTTCACAAAACCTTTTCCATATGCACCAATCTGCAAAAATTATGTATCAAGAACGTTTTAGCGCAAAAAGACAGGTCAATCCATTTTTCGACGCCCTTCTGCCCGATGTTTCTGGCAGAGCCTTGAGCATATCTAATCTTAATAAATGTAGCACAATACAAACTGAGAATTGCAATGAACACAATTAGAATTCTTTTCAGATGACTGAATAAGATCATACCTGAACATAGGCCCAACCGTTGCCTCGTTTGAAGATCAATTCCATGACACTGAGGCAGCAATGAGCACAAGAAAACATGAATTCATCTTCTCCCTCGATCAAATTGAGGCCGCGTGCCACAACTCTCAGGGCTTCAATTGCAGGCACGAAAAGGGAACCAAGGCAAGCACTTCCAAGATTATTAGATAACGCTCGTTGGAAGCAAAATTTGGTTGTGTTACTTGCAGAATTTTACAATTTTGTACATAGAATCCGTGATTGGATAATTAAATTGATCGATCCCTTTAAATGGTGATTTTTTTCATATAGTTAGGTTGGAGGATGCACACAAATTTACAAATTAACTTAACATTTGCTATCAACCTGCCCGAGCTCGTTCCCTCGTAAAGCACTTCCTTAATGGGACACAACTGGGCGAGACCGATTTTTATATTTTGGAGGCTTTAGATCAATTTTAAATATGAGCCTCTTTGTACGTGCAAAATAGAATTTTAAAAAATAATATTTTTTATTGAATAAAAATATTCAAATTACAATAATAATAATCTAAAACTTTCAAATTTCTATATTAAATTTATTTTTTAGAATTTTTCGATTGAAAATCAACAACTATACTATTACAATCAAGCTTACTGCATCAATACTTCAAACAATTATCATATGCAATTTGCATTTTTTTTTAAAAAAAAATTGAACAGAAATTCAGAAGTATTTTCATATTTTTGAAATAATTCAAACCTCAACCTAGGTGAATAAAAAGCTTAATCAACTATAAATAATAAATAATAAACTTTAAAAAATTCTTCATCACAATATTTTATGTTATCATTAATATTTTGATCTAATTGCTTCTTTTTAAGGATAATACATGAGATGTAAGTTCAACTTCAGCATTAATTTCTTTATGAGTAATATTCTCGTATTCAAAATTCAGTTTCTCTATATGTTTCAAAAAAATAAATTAAGTGCTTTCAAGTTATTAATGGTAACACCAATATAAATATTCTCATTTTGTAACATTTTTCTTACTTGATTAATGGTAGACAATATATTGTCCCAAATAAGCCTGTTAAACAAGAACTCAAAATTTATAATGTCGTAGGACAAACTTTTAGCATCTCAAAATATCGTAGCTTCATCACATGTTTCCATTAAGTGTTTCAAAGCGATTTATTTCATGCGATTGAAATCTTATTACTTTTAAACTTTCAACTTGATGTTCTTAACGTGCTTTTGATAGCGACTTAAGTATTGGATATTTCACTGTATCTTGAAAAAATTTCTATTGCTCGGCAGAATATGAAAACAATATATATGTAAAACTTTTTTTGACCAATTTTCTTTACTATTTATTATATAATTATTTTTAATGAGCCTTAGACGATCATAAACCCCACCAATAATTAGGATCGACACTCACTACTCTCCATAATAGGGAGGTTTTGATTTTGGCAAGCTTTTTGTTTCACGTCTTTGCTGCTAGCTTAGCATTTTTTTCCAACCCCTTGCGAACAAAAAAAAAAAATAATAATAATAATAATAATAAATTGGACATTTATCTGTGCAAAAAAAAAAAAAACCCATTTCAACTATCACATTACAGAAAGAGATAAACATGAACAAAGAATATGGTGGACTGAATGACATCTGATAAGATTGAGCCCGAGATTAAAATCAGATTTTTAGTCGATCTTGATAAAAGTTAATGAAATGTATGATTGAAAAGTTGTAGATTCCATAAAATGTATGGTTAAAATTAATTGTTGACTTTGACTTAAAATTAAAATTTTATTTTTTATCAAACATGGACAAAAAAGATGTGAACATTACAAACATATATTATATTATTTAATCATATATATCAAATTTATCTAGTCACGTCTAATTTACCATGCAAAATATTCTCAAGACGTAAAATATGTGCTGCATCACTAAGTTTGTTTTGTGTGGCGAGTAAAAAAAATTAAAAAATTGAAATAAAAAAAAGTGATTGATAAATTATTTATACATATAATGTCAGCTTTTATTTTGAATTATAGAACACGATTGGTAGAGATTTTAATTCAATTAACATCAATTTTTTTTATCGTTATCTCACTATTTCAGCCGTCATTTTTGAATTCTTCTCTCACAAATAAGACTCACTTTATTTTTAATGATCAAAAAATCAATTAACAAAATCTTTATCAAGCAAGCACATATATTTTAATAAATTTATAAGTATTATTTACTTGATTTATTATTTATTTCTATTGATTTCTTTTGAAACATAGCCCTCATTTGGTAGCAAATTTTTATTTCAAAAAATTAATTTTTTGACCGTTATTTCACTATTCAAACCATCATTTTTGACTTCTTTACTTATAGATAAGATATACTTTTCTCTTTAACGATTAAAAAACCAATTTTCATAACCACATCTGAAACTGCCTAAACTCGAAAGGTACAAACTAGAAAATTAATTTGTAAAACAACCTTTCATTTGCGGGTCAAATTTGGATTCAAATTCAAATCTTGAAAAGAATGGTACAATTTCAAGAAGCTACCTTGAAACTAGCAACGCTATTTTTTAATGACAATACAAGTAAAATAAGGAAAAATCCTCTAGTTGATTCTTACAAGAGTGCACAAAAGAATACGGCCACGTAATGAAACAAAAATAAGCTATCCCAAAGTAAGATAATGACAATTAAATAATGGTGAGAAGGACATCATCGTATATCCCAAAAGAATAATTCCAAGTATCCTCATTACGTGGTCTTCATACCCATCCACAACAATAATTATTGGACAGGGCAATTGACAAGTTTTCTCACGTCTTCAATCTTTTTCAGTTCAATCATCGATGTATGCATCACGACTCGACTACTCATGTCTCGCACTTCGAATACATTGATATGTATCCGAGCCCATGTAGCGTAAGACTTGGAATTGTATGCCTTGACAAACGAAAATCATGTGTTCAAATCTACACCTACTTATCTTGTGAAACGTCGAGGAACTCGAGGTGTTGGTACCGCGACATCACGACCGGATTTTAGCAATTGGATACGGTCCGGTATCATGTTATCGAAGAGCCTACTATCCGGATTTTCGGCATAACAGACATAATAACAACTCACACATGCTTGAGGCAGTGCCATTGCAATCCTAGTCTACAAGCACATTATCAATACAATAATGTTAATCAACCATCACTAAAGAAATAAAATATATTCAAGTTGATCACATGATTTGAATGTAATATTATTGAGATATAAAAAGGATTAATTTAATTATTGATGATAATTAGAGAGGGGGCACCCACCATTAGGTAACCGATGAAGGCGGCTAGGACGGAGAGGGTGGCCGTGTAGCGGTTGTGCACGGCGGCTGTCCAAGCAGCCACCATAATTGTACACATCGAGCCACTGCAAACTCCGGTGAGAAAGCAAATGGCACTTGTAATATCAGAATCAACAATTCTTTCCATTTCTCTCTTGAGAAAAAGCTCCCATGTATCTTGTGATGCCTTCACAAAACCTTTTCCATATGCAGCAATCTGCAAAATTTATATATCAAGAACCTTCAATCCATTTTTCGACGCCCTTGTAGCTGGTGTTTCTGCATATCTAATCTTATTAAATCTAGTACAACACAAACTGAGAATTGCAATGAACACAATTAGAATTCTTTTCAGATGACTGAATAAGATCATACCTGAACATAGGCCCAACCGTTGCCTCGTTTGAAGATCGATTCCATGACACTGAGGCAGCAATGAGCACAAGAAAACATGAATTCATCTTCTCCCTCGATCAAATTGAGGCCGCGTGCCACAACTCTCAGGGCTTCAATTGCAGGCACGAAAAGGGAACCAAGGCAAGCACTTCCAAGATTGTTAGATAACGCTCGTTGGAAGCAAAATTTAGTACTAGATTGCATTCCTCTTAGATAATACAGAGCAATCACCCTACTCACAGTTAAATTAGCCACATTCCTCATTACTTCAGCAGTCCAAGCCAAGCTCAATACCAATGCGAATATAATCAATGGAGGAGCATGAAAATTCAATGATCCCATAACAGCTAAAATCCAAAATGACATCCACAAAAATCCGGCACCAAGCATTAAATAAGTGGGGTGATTTAAATCAGGAAATTTCGACACAGGTTCAAGAGCTTTGATGAAAATCTTGGAGCAAAAACTAGTTCTTTGTGTAACCCAACAAGCATACAATCCATTACCAATGGCGAATGCTATAAAAATAACTCCAACGCCACTCGTTGCAGGCCTTTGGAAGCAAATTAAAAGGATTCCGGCCGATAAAGTTAGGCCAAAGGAACTCCAGATTATGAAATGAACCATGAATTTAGGCCATAATCTCACTGCCTTTTGCCAAAGAAATGCTAATGTAATGCTAAGAAACGAGGCAGCCTCAACCTGTGGCAGAAAATACTTCAACAACTCTTTCTCTTCTCTTTGAGCCCTCCCTTCTTCTATTAGGCCTTGCACCCCTTTAAATATAAGAAAACCCACCAGCCCAATTGCAATAACCGTATGCACAAGAAACACAAACAGAGAAATCTTGTTTGTGTATGATCTTGAATTCAGTGTTACAACTGATTGCTGGTCAAAAAACACAAAATCACAGAATTTATTTTCCATCAAAACTGAAGAAAAACACAAAAAAATAAATAAAATATTTGTTTAATGTTGAAACTTACTCGAGGGGTAGGTGTAGAGCGAGGCACAGGTTGCTGCACAGGAGGAGGAGAAACAGAAGGAGCAGGGCGAGGCGGAGGGTGCTGCAAAGGAGAAGGAGAGGCAACTCTTGTTGAATTTTCTACGACAAGTCTTAAAGGATTTGTAGCACTCAATCTTTGCATCCGTGACATATGAAATTCTATTGGGGGATGAATTTGAACTGCTCTTTCTTGAATATTCACCCCACCATTCTCCAAATCCTTAGATTCTTCATCATATTCTTCTTCTTCCACTGTTTCTTCTGCAATTTTTCTAGGCACTACCTGCAAAAAAACACACCAACGAAAGAATATTCAAGAACAAATACAGGAAGAAATCAGCAGTGGTGGTGGAGGCTAGATCTCATACGGGTTCCAAGGCACCCATTGGTGGCGGCGCGTGTAGCTGACGGCACTAACGGGAGGTTTGGATTCTGGTGGACGTTAGAGTTTGTTTGATGCAATTACACTCGTACCAAGCATTCTTCTCATTTTCAATTCTTTTCACGAAATCCGTTGTACGTATTTATAACTTATTTTCCAATAACGATCAGCCCGGTTGCCTAAGTGCAGGGTCCACCGTCGGTCTCTGACAGCATGATCCACACGTGGTGAAGTTAAGTAAGACTCCGGGTGAGGAATATGAAGTTTGGTTTGCTGTGATTGGTGGATTAAAATTGTTGAAATGTCAAAAATGCACAATTTGAGATGCCCGAGACAAATATTTTTGACTAGTTTAATGAAGTAAAGTGTAAATTTCAACGTGGTCTCCAACCTTTGTCAAGAGTTGCATCTAGGTCGGACCTATCAAATATGGCCCTTGAAAGTTGAATCTACAACTTGTAATTGTTTGAAGGAAAAAACCTCAAGTATAGGGATTGCCTTGCAGAATTCATACAGATGCAGACCTGCGGAAAGTTAATTTGCCCTTTTTTTGTGATTTTTTCATTTTTCAACGATCCCAAACAATGTGTTGTCTGTCAAAATTTTTTGTACTTAAAGCATAATTGTTCTTTGAAAGTAAAACCTTGTATTAAAGTGATCAGGGCAAAAATGAAGGAGAACGAACACTAAACAACCAAGAACTGAACCACCACCTACTGTGTAAAATTTACAATTATCGACCCCATAACAAGTCAATACCAAAATTTTCATCATCATCTTTGGCATCATCGCAAAACCCCACAATGCAATAATCAGTATATGACTAGTGGTAGAGCAAACTGGGGACAAAGGCTATAGATTATTTGTTTTAAATTAGAAGAATTATTTTCTTTTCCTTTTTTTGACTTCTCATTTTCTTAATTTTATCAATTGAATAAAGGGTGCAATAGTCTTAGAACACGAATTTTGACTTTTTCGACTGGCACATTTTTGAAGTTCGATGATCCAAATGCTACGATTTCATAGATTAGGAATCAAATGCCACTATCGGTATTGTTTGCTGACTGTGCAAGGCACTATTATAATCTATCAACTTGACGTCATTTTCTTTGAGAGACATACATGTGAAGATGTAGTCAATGGGTGTCACTGTTTCTATTCATCACATTCGAGCAAAATATTATGTTCGATAGTGATTATGAGAATTAATTTTTTGACCATTAGAGAGAAAATCGGGGATCACCTGTGAGTGAAGAAATAAAAAATAATGGCTAAAATATTAAACAACGGTCAAAAAATCAAATTTTTGGATGAAAAATCACTACCAAACGGAGATTTATTTATAGAATTATGTTACCCTACAGTTATTATTGGAAAAGCACAACGGCTTGTATATTAAATATTACGGAAGACATTAATTTAATATAGGTTACAATTGTGATGTTTTACTAACACTTGATGTTTTTATTTGGTGTGTAAAACATGGGCGGAATCGAGGACGAATATTGAGCACGGACAGTGAGAGTGGCTATCCAATATAAGGGGAAATTTTTTTTTTCGATGGATTCAATACGCGGGGTTGCCGAAGGTGGATCCCACTGGTGGTGTAAATTATAACGTTATGTAAAATTCTATAGTATGTATCAATCTTGTTACAGTGACAAGTCCAATAACATGTTAAAAAACAGTGGAGGGAGGACACGTGTCGTCATATGATTGAAATTAAAAAAAAAAAAAACCCTGACACGACATCTGTCATCCCACCCTGTCAAAAGCCCCTATTCAAGTGGAACTATCTATCAACGATGCTTATTATACACCATGATCTACAGCTCTCTCACACATAAGGGGGCTCACCAATTTTTTTATTAATGGTGTACAACCACCATAATCCATTATCTATAAATGGATTATCAGGAAGAAGTTGTAGTTGTATGAGTTAAAAAGGTTAAATCATAACCTTAAGGGTCCCCCACCACCCCTGTCCTGGAGTATCGTGAGAGAGGTAAATTGCAGGTTATGCCTCCAAGGGTACAGGGTGGAAGGCTGCTTGTACACTTGCACTTACCCAAGAGCCAAATCCATATTTCAGGATTCGAACCCTTGACACAGCAGCCTCAAGTAAAGCTGGATTTCTCCACCCTCCCCTTTTACCACTTGGAGATGTGCCCTGGGGACAGTTGTAGTTGTATGAGTTGGATCCACATCAGGTAGTTCAATAGGTTGTCAGTTTCAGAATTCCAATTGTCTTTGTACATAATTGCAGTATTTATTGGATGACCCCAAGAAGTTTGGATAGTACAATTTTAGACACACACATCGTAAGATTATTCATTTAAGGCCCTATTTGACAACCATTCATTTGAATTTTTTGGGAAGAATGAGTTGAATAATAATTATTTGGAGAATGTGTGATCGTAAGGTAGAAAAAATATTTGAGTTTACATAAAGAATATTTTATCGTAAGAATATAATTGAAAATGAGTATGAGAAAAAAGAGTTGAAAGTATGGTTGCCAAATAAAGGCTAAATCGCGTCTTGAATCTCGAGCCACTTAAAATGTGACACATCACATCGAACACCGACATTGTTTCTCTTCTATGACGTCGGATGTCAAGGTGTTGAAATTCAAGTGGCTCAAGATTCAACATATTGTATTTTGAATAGATAATCATACCACATACGGATGGTAGAAAAACCCGCCCCAACTCGACCTGAATGGGGCAAAAAACTCTCCCCGACGGGTTGGCGGGCCTGGGCGTAAATCGTCGCCCCGTCTCGGGTCTTAGGGTGGGGATGCAAAATTTATTTATTTATTTATTGCTGGACCCATCATTTTCCTAATTGTATAGGAAGTTTTTTTTTTTTTTTCAATTACATATAGAGTTATTTTCTTCTTATATAAAATCGGTTTTTACTAAAACTAATTATTAAATTAAGACTTTAATTAGACTACTATAACTCCTAATTTAATTCAACCAATTTAAGTCAATCTCAATAGTGACAGAAAGTAGCCATTGATCAATATCTGTAGCTGTAGCCTGCATTTTCTGTAATGGCAAACAGAAACCAGAAATTAAATGTCAAAAAAATTAAATGAAAAAAAATAAACAACATATACTAGAATTAATAGTTCTGCTGACGAATGAAATTATGAAGATTGAAAAATGACAATTTTTGGATCAAGAAATGAAATTTAGTTCCAATGTCACAATGACAATGTAATTTTAATTGCAATTATTTTTTCTTTTTGGACAGTGTTTGTTCTGACTTTCAAGTGTTTATTTTGAATATTAACTTTGTTAGTTTGAGTATTATTTGTATTTTATTGAACTCGAAATTTTGAAGGAAAAAAGAAAAAAAAAACAAACGGGGCAAGCCCTACGCAGCGGGGACGGGCGCGGGGCGGGCTGCCTCGAACCCGCCTCACTGCCATCCCTAGTACCATGTGTGTGTATATGAAAAATAGATTCATTGCCAAACGGCCGAACCGTATGTGAGTACATTTTTCAAGGATTTTCCCTTATTCCAATTGCTAAATAACTAGGTAATCTTATGTACCCATAGGTACCATATTTGATTTGAATTAGATTCATCCACCCTGCACCCATCCCCAAGTATATGCTTCAATAGGAATCACACAAGGGTAGATTGTCACCACTGATATCGACGCATTTGAGATCACCAAATGTTCGAGAGTTTCTCTGTTCAATCCGTTTCTGTCTTTTAACCAAATGTATGCGGATCCAATCACGATCCTATAATAAGAACAAGAGATCTTTCTCCACCAATCCCTTTGCCCCTCATCCTTCCAGATTTCGGGAAGGAGCCGTATTACGAGAGAGGCATGGGCTTAAAATTGGAATTTGGAACATGGGAACAGAAAATGAAGTGGAACAAGGAGACAAGTCCCACTTTTGGATAGTTCAATTCCGAAACTTCCACATATAAACATCACATAAATTGTTCTTACTTGATTTTATTACGAGAATTAGTATTCTTACCCTAAAATGTGATTTACATGCAAATAGTCCCTATATGTTGTGAGATGGAATCAAGCACTGATTACCAACAACGAATTAATCATTCATGCACCGACCCAAGAAGAAATCACTTTAGGCTTATTGGTAATCCATGATCAAATTCATTTTGTAGGTCGCAAAAGGAAAATCCTAGTTTCGAATTGAGTCAACGTCCTTGCAAATAGAAATCGGTGAAGCTATCAATTAGAGAAGGATGCTCAAGAAGAACATACCATATGAAGGATGACTAGCAAAAGATTCATAGGCTTTCCATAGAAAGAGCTTATATTTTATAGCTCTAACTCGATTATTTCCTGTTGAGACTCGAACCCTGTTATTTGTGCTCCCATATTTTCAGCTAACAAAACATGTTTTGAAAACACGCCTTTATAAATGGCATTCTGCCTGATGATGACACCTGGCTTAATTCCCACCGTTGGATGAAAGGTTTACACTCTGGTGATAAAAATAGGATGGACTGTTCGTTTGGCTTAGTGACTTTTCATTTTTGTGTGACTCTTGAGTGAGGTTCGAGAGAGTTCTTCGTCTCTCTCGAGCTAAGGTTTTCAGTCTTTTCTATTTTCTGTAATCGATCATTTCATTCGATGTTTTGGAAGGTTATTAATCACTGTATATTGATCTTTTCTTGAGTGAAACTTAGAGTTCTCATGTGTTGAGATTAGGAATGTGGTATGTTGATTTGGTGCGAGTCTGAGGCAGATCTATGGTTCCTTTTGAAAAGATAAGTCTCTTTCTTGTGTATTCTTATAGTGATTGAATTATGTAACCTTCGATTGCCTGTTTTTGGGGCTTTAGTACAATCGAGCAATATCCACTTCGATTGGATGCTCAACAGGGGATTAGGTGCTTGTCACTGAACCTCGGGGGCTTCGACCGAAAAATCTTGTTATGTTCTTTATTTTCAGCAAGTTTAATTTCTGTTTTGAGCTCGATTGTATCTTGCAATTAATGTGTGGGTTTTTTTGCCCCCTTTCAGTGGTATCAGAGCGTTACACTGGGGCAAGATACCTGGATCTTTGAAGGAGGGCTCGATCTGCAGCAGATCTAAAATTTCTAGAACTGTTTTTAAACAGTATTGAAGGACCTTGAGTATTTTATACTCGTTGGGTGAGATCTTTCTAAACTTGTAAAGTTTACTTTATGAA